TTCCCCCAAACTCCCACCCCCTGTCACATCCCACAGGTGATGCCCAAGGAGCTCCAAATCTGTCCCCACCCCCTGCACTGTCCCCTCTGTCCCCACTCCCACAGATGGTCAGCCTCAGGTCCAGCCTCTCACCATGGATGTCCGTCCATCCATCCATCCATCTGTCCGTCTGTCCGTCCATCCATCCATTCCTCTGTCATCCCCTCACCTGTCCCCCGTGTCCCTTCTGATGACCTCCTCCACCTGTTCCTGTGTCTTCCTTGATGTCCCTGACCTGTCCCCATGTCCCTCACCTGTCCCTCACCTGTTCCCATGTCCCTCACCTGTCCTTCACCTGTCCCCATGTCCCTGACCTGTTCCCATGTCCCTCTCCTGTCCCTCACCTGTCCCCATGTCCCTTTGATGACCCCCTCCACCTGTCCCTCACCTGTCCCTCACCTGTCCCCTCACGTGTCCCCGTGTCCCCGCAGATGACGTCCTCCACCAAGGTGTACTACAGCCAGACCACGCAGACCGACAGCCGCCCGCTGATGGGGCCGGGGCTGCGGCGGCGCCGGGTGCTGACCAAGGACGGCCGCAGCAACGTGCGCATGGAGCACATCTCGGACAAGCGCTTCCTGTACCTCAAGGACCTGTGGACCACCTTCATCGACCTCCAGTGGCGCTACAAGCTCCTGCTCTTCTCCGCCACCTTCGCCGGCACCTGGTTTGCCTTCGGCGTGGTCTGGTACCTCGTGGCCGCGGCACACGGCGACCTGCTGGAGTTCGAGCCGCCCGCCAACCACACGCCGTGCGTGATGCAGGTGCACACGCTGACCGGCGCCTTCCTCTTCTCCCTCGAGTCCCAGACCACCATCGGCTACGGCTTCCGCTACATCAGCGAGGAGTGTCCGCTGGCCATCGTGCTGCTCATCACCCAGCTGGTGCTCACCACCATCCTGGAGATCTTCATCACCGGCACCTTCCTGGCCAAGATCGCGCGGCCCAAGAAGCGCGCCGAGACCATCAAGTTCAGCCAGAACGCGGTGGTGGCGCAGCACGACGGCAAGACCTGCCTGATGATCCGCGTGGCCAACATGAGGAAGAGCCTCCTGATCGGCTGCCAGGTCACCGGGAAGCTGCTGCAGACCCACCTCACCAAGGAGGGCGAGAGCGTCCGGCTCAACCAGCTCAACGTGGACTTCCAGGTGGACACGTCCTCGGACAGCCCCTTCCTCATCCTGCCGCTGACCTTCTACCACGTGGTGGACGAGGCCAGCCCGCTGCGGGACGTGTCCCTGCGCTCGGGGGACGGCGACTTCGAGCTGGTGGTCATCCTGAGCGGCACCGTGGAGTCGACGAGCGCCACGTGCCAGGTGCGCACGTCCTACCTGCCCGAGGAGATCCTGTGGGGCTACGAGTTCACGCCGGCCATCTCGCTGTCGGCCAGCGGCAAGTACGTGGCCGACTTCAGCCTCTTCGACCGCGTGGTGAAGGTGGCCACGCCCTGCTGTCACCACGAGGCCGTCCGGTTCGGGGACCCCGAGAAGGTGAAGTTGGAGGAGTCGCTGAGGGAGGCGGAGCGGGAGGGGGAGGGGGCCCCGCTCAGCGTCCGCATCAGCAATGTCTGAGGGGGGACAGAGAGGTGACATCGGCACCGGTGGCACCGGAGCAAGGGGTGGCAGCGGGCCCTGGGTGGCACCAGAGCAAGGGGGTGGTGGCAGGTGCTGGAGGTGTCGCTGTGTCTGGAGGTATCACCAGATTCGAGGGGATGGCAACATCTGGAGGTGTCACCAGCCCTGGAGGTGCCACCATCCCCAAAGGGACACCAACAATTGGAGGTGGCACCAGCCTTGGAGGTGGCACCAGCCCCAAAGGGACACTGACAATTGGAGGTGTCACCAGCCCTGGAGGTGCCACCAGCCCCAAAGGGACACCGACAGTTGGAGGTGTCACCAGCCTTGGAGGTGCCACCAGCTTCAGAATGTCACCAGCCCTGGAGGTGCCACCAGCCCCAAAGGGACACCGACAATTGGAGGTGTCACCAGCCCTGGAGATGCCACCAGCCCCAGAGGTGCCACCAGCCCCAAAGGGACACTGACAATTGGAGGTGTCACCAGCCTTGGAGGTGTCATCAAGTCTGGAGGTGTCACCAATGCCTGTTACCAGCCTCAGAGTGTCACCAGCCTTGGAGGTGCCACCAGCTTCAGAATGTCACCAGCATCTGGAGGTGTCACCAGCACCTGGAGGTACCACCACCCTCAGAGTGTCACCAAGTCTGGAAGTGTCACCAAGTTTGGAGTTTTCACCAGTTTTAATGGGCCACCAATGTCTGGAGGTGCCATTAGCCCCAAAGTGTCACCAATGCGTGGAGGTGCCACCAGCCCCAGAACTGTCACCAGCTCCTGGAGGTGTCACCAGCCTCAGAGTGTCAACAAGACTGGAGTGTCACCAACACCTGGAGGTAGCACCATCCATGGAGGCATCACCAAGTCACCAACCCCAGGGGACACCAACGCCTGAAGGTGCCACCAACATCTGGAAGTGTCACCAACATCTGGAGGTGGCACCAAGTCTGGAGGTTCCACCACCAGCCCCAAGAGCACACCAATGTCTGGAAGTGTCACCAGCCCTGGAGGTGCCACCAGCCCCAAGGGGACACGAATGTCTGGAGGTGTCACCAGCCCCAAAGTGTCACCACATCTGGAGGTGTCACCAAGTCTGGAGGTGTCACCAGCCCCAAGGGGATATAAGTGTCTAAAGAAGCCACCAGTCCCCAAATGTCACTGGTGCTGAGATGTCACCAGCCCTGGTGGTGTCACCAGTCCTTGGAGGTGTCACCAACATCTGGAGGTGACACCAGCCCCAAAGTGCCACCAGGTGCCACAAATCCTCCAGTCCCCGGGGTGTCCCCAGTTCCAAGGTACCACAAGCCCCTGGAGGTGCCACCAACACCGGCAGGTGACACCAGCCCTGAGGAGACACAGTCCTAAAGTGTCACCAATGCCTGGAAGTGTCACCAACATCTGGGAGTGCCCCCGGTCCCAGGATGCCATCAAAGCCTGGAGGTGCTACCAGGTCCTGGAGGTGCCACCAGCCCCAAAGTGTCACCAACAACTGGAAATGCCACCAATGCCTGGAGGTGTCACTGACCACTGGAGGTGCCACCAACATCTGGAAGTGCCACCAGCCCCGAAGTACCACCAATGCCTGGAAGTGCCACCAGCCCTGAGGTGCCACCAGTCTCTAGAAGTGTCACCAATGCCCAGAAGAGCCACCAGCCAAGATTCCACCAGTGCCTGGAGATGCCACCAATGCCTGGAGATGTCACTAAGCCCTGGAAGTGCCACCATCTGGAGGTGCCACCAACCCCAAAGTGCCAGCAACGCCTGGAAGTGCCACCAGTACCTGGAAGTGACACCAGCCCCAATGTGCCACCAACCTCTGGAGATGCCACCAAGTCCTGGAGATGACACCAGCCTCAAAGTGCCACCAATGCCTGAAAGCATCACCAAACCCTGGAGGTGCCACCAGTCCCAAAGTGCCACCAACACCTGGAGGTGCCACGAGCCCCAGAATGGCACCAGTCCCTGGAGGTGCCACCAGTCCCTGGTGCCCCAAAGTGCCACCGGTTCCTGGAGGCGACATCAGCCCCGAAGTGCCACCAATGTCTACAATTGCCACCAACCCCTCTGGAGGTGCCACCACCCCAAAAGTGTCACCAACCCCTGGAGATGTCACCAATCCCCAGGGGGCTGCTGCTGCTCCCCCCTTCCCTCCCAGGGGAAACTGAGGCAGGAGACCCCCCCCACCCTTCACCCCAAGCCCCCCCCTCAA